AGCGGTTCCAGGAGGATTTTTTTAAAGGCAGGAACTTCTGCTGCAGACTGTAATTGTGAAATGATTTTCTTCTTTGATTCCAGAACAAGGTGGTATGAGAGCGGGGCAGACAAGATTAGTAGGAATTTCCTTCAGTACCAAAGTCTCTTTGTTCTGGTAGCTTTTTCCGTTTCCCTAGAAGAATGTCCTTGTTGTATTAAAGTCATCTTCAGACGACTGAGATGAACACTGTGAGTGTTCCCCAGACAACCTGTACTGCGTGTCCCAAAAACTTGTCTACTTTTTTCAATATTCAGGTTTGTTTAACGAAAGATATTCCCTGTCTGTAAACCTGGTCTTGCCTTTGCCTGGGGACCATACCAGCTGAAATAATGCTACTATTATTTGCCAGAAAATAGTTCTTAATATGATATATTGTGATGAATATGATTTTACTTTTCTGCTAACTTGAATTAAGGATAATTTTCCTTATAGCTTACTTATATTTCCTCCTTGACTTAAGGCTTGTGTGAAGATCGGTCAAGACAGTTATCTGTCTGTTATCACAACCCAAAGTTTTTATATTGATTTACAGGAATTTTTCGGATTTTTAAGGAAATTATGTTGGGTTTTTTGCCTCCAAAACCAAGATAATCTTCCCAGCCTTTTATTTCATCCCACAGGAATCATTAAAACACATAAAGATAATTTCAGTCAACAACCCATTAGTCTTTCTGAATGCCAGGAAATTTCATGCTGACTTGATAAAAATAATCCAGAAGGATAGCACAAGCACCCAGGCATATGAAGATGTAAACAAGGTAGGATGTGCTACATGTATCACGAATCATGATGACAGTGTTAAAGATCATGATTGCTTTCCTTGCTTTTCTTAGACAATGTAATCAGATATTGAAACAGATAAAAACAAGTAATACTGCAAATAACTAAATTATGACATAATAAAGTTAATCCTAATCTTAATCAGGTTTGATATATTTTGTTTTTCGTATTATTACTTGAAGAGTGTCTCTCTAATATCTCTCTATATGTAATTCTGTAAAAGACCTAAAGCCTTCTAAAATTTCTGGCAGACCTTACATAACCTCAGCTAATAATATAAGGTAATTTTTAAAAAGGCAGTGAGTCATTACAATTCTAGTTGCATAAAATGTGGGGGTTGTGCTGGAGATCATTCTGGAGATCATTTTTGATTCTGACTGTAGGTGATTCCAATAGTAAGACGTTATAAATGTGCAAAACTGACTAAAGTTTTCTTTTAAAGCAATACTGCTTTTTCATTTTCTGCACTGATTGTATTGATATTTTTCCAACAAAAAACCACTATAAAATTGTATATAATTTGGTTCTGGGGGTTGTCACTGTAATAGTATTTTTCAAGTTTATCTGCCCATAACTACAGCAACTTCCCATAACTTTCCCTAAAAGGGAAAAATTCTTATTAATTTTCTTTCATTACAGTGAAGACATTCCAATCCTATGCAAGGCTTACTGGAGGCGATTTCATCCAGTGTGGTAGACCGTGGTGATAAAACCACAGGCATTTCCTAGACAGGCATCCGCCAATATTTCCCCATCACTACTTCTGTTTCTTGCCAAAGACCTGTGCTACCCAGGCTTGGGTGGGTGTCTCTTCCTCATTGTTTGGAAACTCACTTCAAAAATTATAATGGTTATTTTCCTTTGTTCTGTTGAGAGTAACTAATATTTGGATTAGTATGATAACATGCCCCCAGACAGAAAGAAGTTACTTTATATTTATTTGAAATTAATTTATGAGTTAATTTGACAAGTGTAATAAATTAATAAGTTAATGTAATAAGTTAAATTATTTAAGTCATTGAGGAGGGAGATGTTATCCTTTGTCTCTTCTGGAAGGTGCTTGACAGTAAAGCTGGCTTAAATACAGTGCATACATTTTTGTCTGTGGAATAACGACCCTTTTGTAGAACAGTGGGGGTGAATGAAAAAAATGCACTTTAGATTTTTGTTTCTGTGCTGTATTATTTCAGATTTTTACCTGCTCTTTTTATGGTAAGCTTAGTTAATTTCATGCAGAAAGCATTATTAAAAATTTTTTCTCCGGGTAAAAGTAATTCTTTAATAAATTTACGTGTCAAAAACATTCTCACTAAAATTTTAGTGGGTTAGATGAGATTGCAGCAAAAAGAAAATAAGTCAAATGTTAATCTTATAAAATTACTTACTTCAATTTATCTTTTCAAGAATATCTTTCCCATGTTTTGACCACCTCTGCTTATCCCTCCCCCTTTCCCCAAAAGTGTTATGTTCATGTGTTATGTTCTAGTGGGTCCAAACATCATAGAAGTTGTCAGCTCAAAAAAAAGGGAGTAGTTTGCTGTAACTTTATAAGAATGCTCAGCAAACAGAATATATCCACAAGGCTGTTGCACAGAATTCTGAGTGTGTAGAGAAGGAGTTAACCTTGATGTTGAGAAACAGAATTCTTATGCATTGCATTGATTTTCTCTGGTTATTACACATTGGATTCGTTTTCCTTGGTATGTTAATTGTTTGTTGTTTTTGCTTCAGTGTGAGCAGAACACATTGCTCTGTTCATTTTCCAATGGAAGTTGTCGTGGTGAGTTTCTTATTTACAAATCATATTAAAAATAAGATGGCTGTAAGTGTGCAAAATGGCTCCACATTTTTCCGTTTATTTCTAGGTGAACTCAAATTGTCTGGAAACTAATGTTTTCAGTTAATCCATACATTAAGTGAAGTATGAGTGCTAAACAGTTTCAAACTTCCTTAGCCTTAGCCCAGAAGGACTCCTACCAAGAACAGGAAGTAGTTCATCTTTATTTTTATCCTATTCTTAACTTCCTTTCTAAGATTTCAAAAGTGGGAATCAAGGAAGAATCAGATTCTCTAGGAGTCCCTGCTTACCCTGCTTATTTCACATGAACGCCTATATGTTCGCTGATACATGTACATAGTGGAGGGATATTAGCATGCAAAACTAAGAATAGGAAAGGATTAGACCCATGTTAAATCTTTATGGTCTTTAAAGACATTTATGAGGAGAAACTCACAAAAAGTCAATTGAATTATTAATGATACCATGGCCACCAGTATAGTACAGTACGCCAGTATAGTATGGAATAAAGAAAAGAAAAAACTAGAGGTTTGCTTTTAATTAAGGATTAAGCTGGATAATTCCGTCTTTTACCACATTTTATAACGCACAAATCAGATGAGAGTACATACATTCCCATGAGATAGCTGCAGCAACCTTTTACAGAAGATGCTTTATACAGATGACCTCATCATGGACAGAATTCAAATATTCTGTGTGTTTAAAACACTTATGAGCATTAAGAGAGAATCTGATTTGGGGATATGGAATGTTTACACTTATTAACTAGACTTATGACATTTTTATGACATTACAGTGTTTTATTTGGGGGTGACAAAGTGCTTTACTGTAACACATAGCAACATAATGGTAATGGCTATCAAAGATCTTATAACACTGTACTGTAAAATACTGAAAGAATGTGCAGTATTGTATTTGGGAGGTGATTTTTGGAAGGTCTTATCATTATGCATTTCAGCCTTATTGGGATGAACTTGTTTCTCATGTTATAGAAGTGACAGACAGCACAAGACCTCTTTTCTGATTGCTTAAGTCCTGTCTTGAGTCCTGTGTCAGTTGTTCCTTCTGCTAACCAGTTCATGATGACTATTCGTATGAGTTTCAAAATAAAATCGGGGAGAAAAAACAAAAATCCTTAGAAAATAAAAACAAACTATGAGGCTTAAAGTTTTAGAAAGGAGGAGAGCAGATAGACATGATCCTTAATCCTTACAGGGGTTATCCTTGGAAGACACAGCAACTTCCCTCTGTCAAAATCTTTCCTTTCCAGCTCTGAGGAATACCAGTTTGCCATTGGCCCATATTAGCAGCAAATTAAATAACTTATGCTCCCCTTGCCCACTTGTTCTGGAGGGAGCGAGTCTGTACCTACCCTCACATTCAGAATCCAGGCAGTTTGTGCCGATAACGCAAGATTCCAGTTGAGCAGAAAGGTGGTATGACCTCCATTCCAGCCTTACATTCATATATATACATATATACATACACATATATACATACTTTGAAGTGTGCCTGTGTGGAGTGTGTGTTTGTGCGTTTTGCCCTTCATAAGGTTTATTAGAGAATAGATTTCATAGCGTGCTGGTGTAACATATCAGCTAGTTACGTTTTAGGTATTAGGCAATCTCAGCTCGTGTCCTTGAAGGTGACATTTCTAAGCTGAAGCAATGATTATTGGCTTTCTTTCCTTTTCTTTTTTTGTATTTTGTTTCTGTTGTACAAAGGTTTAAGAGCACGGTACACACAACTTACTTTTATTTAAACTCTATTCTTGAACTCTCAAAAGTTAAATTTTATTCAGGTAGCATAATGATCACAAAGAAAAACATATCACAGGGCATTTTTGAAGGTAAAACTTGTTGGAGCTTGTAAATAAAAATGTGTATGTGTTTAGGGGTAAGTAAATAATACAGAGAAGGACTAAGTTCTTTTGTTTCAGAGACGCAGGAGGTATGTGGAAAAGATTGCAGTGAACAGCCTAGCAGAGCTCATAAATCCTTTTGGGTTTCCATAGTATTAACGTGAGGCAGAAGATTTCCTTTGAAAGTCTTTATTTTTGTTTGTGATATATTTATTAACGTACACTAGGCAGTAAAAGGACAATTCGTTTTTGGAGGTGCAAGTCCAAAAGGCTCTGTCACTCAGACTACTTCCAGGAAGGAATTAGTGCCATTATAAATCTACACTATGGGAAATTCTAAGTCGCCTCAAGATTTTAAACTCTTTTTTTTTTTCCTCTGCTCTCTCAAAATCATCCAGCTTAACCCAACTTTACATTCAAACTTCTTTTCCTTTATCTTTTTTTTTTTAAGTGTTTTGTATTATATGATAACTAACAGTAAAGCTAATATTTATCCACAGAGCAATATAAATAAGCATGCATGTTTTCTGAGTTTTCCCTTTATGAAAGGAATCATTTACTTATGTCCTACTTTGGGACACGTTTAGTGCAGTACGTGCTTTGTTTAAGCACAAGCTAGTCTGAGTTTGGAGAGTGGATGTAAGACCATCATAAATCTTAATAACATCTTTTTTTCTCTAGGATCAATACAGGATAGCATATATATTACAAAAACATTAACCAAACAAAAAAGAACACATTAAAAACTTGTAAAATAAAGCACACCACTTTATATGTTTTTTTTCCTTATAGGGGCATATTAGTTATGTTGCACCAGGGGAAGGCATTTAGTTATTACAGAAATTAATGGTGTATTAGAACCTGAAAGAGGGATATGTCCTTTTTGTATCCCATATAAAGTTTCCTAAAGTAGCCAAGATGATACAAGATGATATCAGGACTAATTTAGAAATTCAAGTATGGAGAAGTACTTCTTTTTTCCCTCAGAGAATATTCTCGTTTAGTGCATTTCACTAATAATGTGTTCTCCCTGTCATCACTTCATCCCATTACTCTAAATATTCTTCATTCATATTTCTAAAATGAGCCATTTTATTGACTGTTACACAATAGAACATTTTGTATTATGATAAATTTGATTTATTTTGGTGATATATTATTAATTTCTGGTGCGTGTTTCTTGAGTATTCTTCCTTTTAGTTGAAACTCATTTCCTATATCAAATACATAGGTGAGTCCTTGTTGCAGCCATGCTGCAGGGAGCGACATGCTTTGATACTAGACTGCAGTGGACTGAATTTCTTTGACTATACTGGAGTTTCAGTGTTGCTTCAGGTATTTATGACATCACACACACTCTGTATATAAACATACATAATTGCACATACCAGATATTGAGGTTAGCTACTAGTTATCTCAGTCACATCGGTGGATTGGCATGGTCACTCGTGAAAAAGATGAGCATAGATTTGACATGGAACTGCCATATATTTGTATAAAATTATCTACAAAAATTTCTAAAGATCTTGAGAGGACATTCAGTGCAGATGCAAATATCTATAGTTAATGGAGATGAGTTTTGGAAAACATTCCTTTTTTTATTAAATCTGATTTAGGTCATGTTCAAGCCTGGTTCAGTTATGCCACTTGCAGTGGAGCTCTGTGTGGATTTATCCCTTAGAATTTCGTCTTTTATTTCTGTGATTTTATGTGTATGTCCTGCTTTCCACTAGTATAGAGGTCTTAATGATCCCTGTGTTTTATTCTGTGGGTATACATAGCTAACAGATGGGGTTCCTCATTCAAAGTAGGAGCTCCTATATACTCCCAGAAGACCAAAAGCAGTAACCACATGATGATCAGATCTGTATAGCAGATGAAAAGCTGTGTTCAGAAGCTATCTCCTACTTTGCCATTGGGCTTGGCATTATACAGAAGATGCTTAGTGGGTATAGATTAACAGGGTATGCAAGATTTGTTTCATATCATCTCTCTGAATAAGGTAGAAGATTTGATCTGAACTGGGGTCTCAGCCCAACCCTTTTCTTATCCTAACCATTTTCTCAGTTTACTGGACTGATTAAACAGCTAAGTAAGTGCTAAATTAAAAAAAAAAAAGTGTCAAATTGAAACTACACATATAGGTGGGAAGATAGTCAAAAAGAAAACTTAAAGAAGGTGAGTGGGAGTTACTCTTTATTAGTTCTCACAAAAAATAAAGAGCATTCAATAAAATTAGTAGGAAAACCGTTAATTAAAAAAATTTTGAAATGGATTTCCAAAAGATCTTAGAGACTTCAGAATTACAAGTGACATCAAAAGGATGTTAGACAAATTTAGGAGTGGTAAGCCCATCTTTGGCTATAGAATGCATGGTCTGCATGAAATGCATAGACTTTCACTGAATGACTGGTCAGAAATTGAGACGCCCAAGAGAGGAATACACTAAGCATCCTATTTGTTACTCTCCTTCCCTAAATATCACTGCTACTTCTAGAGATAAGATACTGGTAAGATGGATCTCTAGAGTGAGTCAGGCTTTTGGTTCTTTTCATAAAATAGGGTATTCTGATGTGGTTCTGATGTAATTGCTCCTCTTAGAATTGTTCTACTTTATATAGATTATTTAAATATTTTTTGAAACAGAGGCTGTAAACAGGAGTTCTCATCTTCCAGGAAAGAGCCATACTCTGATTCTAGAGTTATTTTCACCTTTTCTCAATCACTTTCTAGCTTATTGAATATTTAGTCTCTGTGAAGTTGAACATTTTCTGAGAAGGAACAGAGAACAACTTGCTGCAGAACGTAGCGTGTTGGTTAAGGCACTTTTCTGATAGACTGATGGAAGTTTCAGAGTCTCCTAGGTCCTATTCCTATCTTTGTGGACTGGTATGTAAGAGCATGAAGACGAGTTGGGGAAACTTGTAGGAAAAGGCATGCTAGTAAAATATTAAGAAAAAATAGCATAAACAAGCCAAAGCTATTAATCAAATTGAGTTTATTTTAAGTAGGGCTGTAGAGCACTTTGGGGAAGGGGGAGGAAATGACCCTTCTCTGTTTAATGTGGGCTTTGCGATGTTTATATTATAGCATGGCTCTCTCTAGTGGCTACTGTCAGTATAGCTTGAATAGCAGTGCTTCATGCTCTTTGCTTGCTTTGAATATGTTCTTTTGCGTATCTTATTGCATTTTAAACATTTTTTTGAATTTCATGTTTTCACACATTTAGATTTACATGGATTGTAAAAACAGACACATTGATGTGTTGCTAGCACACTGCAAAGGCAAGTATCAGCTTACAGAAAAATTTTTAACGTGATGGTTTAGATATCCTCACTACCTTATCAGTTCTCATCTGTTTGTTTTGTTACAGCTTCCTTGATAAAAGCGATGCAGTACGGCGGAAACCTTGAATCTGAAAATGCCATCTTCTTCGAATCTATTTCTTCTGCAATTGACTCCATTCAAATTAACAGGGTGAGACTTACAGCAGCGGGGAGGTGAAGCCTGGAAGGCTTTTTGGGTGCTTATAGCAAGACGCTAAAGTCTGGGGAAATCTTACTTATTTAGTGAACCTTTTGTGCATCAAACTTTATCTGTCTCTGTAACAACTTCCCAGCCTCTGGACTGCATTTATTAAGGTTTTCCAGCTTGAACTGTCTTCACATCATCTTCTCCCTTTCCTTTAGCAGTGAATTCTAGGTTTTCTGTTCCAGATCCAGAGGCACCATGTGCTGGAGCATTAGTCTGGGTACTTTCTCCACTGGAAAGGGTGATGTCATCTAGAAATACCTAATGTAGTCTCTTGGTACCTTAGCTTGCACCTTGTTCTTGCACCTCCATTCCTCAGCGAGGGTTGCTTAAAGCTACATCCCACAGCAACACGCACTGCGAGCCACACCTCCAGCCGGGCTGTGTTTATGGTACAATACAATCCCGAGATACACAAGCGCAAAGTAACTGAGAAACAAGAGAAACTCAAACAGGGCGCTGTGCTGCTCTGACTGAAATACCTCTGGATACTTAGCAGATTTGTTTACAGCTAGTAAGCGTGTCTGTCCTACACTGCAGTGTGCTGTGTTGGCTTACTTGTTGAAAGAGGAGAGGGGAATTGGATGGGGTGGAAGACAGAGCTATAGGGGAAGGAAGAAGAAGGGTTGGTTCAGAAACTGAGGCTGGAGC